AGAGGAGCAGATTTCTCTCCCTCAGCAGAGGAACAAGACAGTAGCAGAACACACTGGTCTTGATGAGTGATGCCATCAGTACTGAGTAGCAGGGAGGGAGATTTCAGGAGGCAGGGAGGTAGGGCACATCTGGCACTGGTCTCACCCTGATGCAGAAGACTAGCCCTGCACTGTTCTCCTCTTTAGATGAGTATGACGATCACCACGATCCTGTTCACTGTAGCTGAATGTGTGGGAAGACCAGGCACCCATGAGGCAAGGGGTCTTCCCTCAGTCTTGGTGTGGAGGCAGCACATTACTTGAGCCCTAAATATTTTTAAATTCCTTTCGGTTGTGTGACCGTATTCTTCAGGACATTGGGTAGGACTAAATGACTGAAGATGAAACCAAATATGTCTATATTGCAAAGATTCTCTTGATTTTTTTAAAAAAGGCCTTTGAGTAACACAGAACTATGTTCGGTTCTAGAATTACTTTTTTTTGTTTCTATTTCTCTGGTGAAATTTTCTACCCTTTCATTCATTATGAGCATACTTTTAGTTTATTAAGCATAGTTATAATATCTGATTTAAAGTACTTGGCTACATCCAAAACCTGGATTTTCTCTTGAAAATGTGTCACATTTTCTTGGATCTTTGTATATGGACTAATTTTGGACGATTTCTTGAATATTGTGAGTATTATGTTATAAAGACTGTAATATTTACGTTTCATGATTAAACTAATATTTTAGTCTTAGCAAGAAATTCACTTGGTTGGATGAAAACTACACATGCTTTTTTGTGGGTGGTAGCTTGAACCTTAGGACCATTCGTTTAGCTTTGGCTGGGTTACCTGCAGCCTGACCACCCCATGAATGGCTCAGGAATCAGCCTGAGGTTTGGACAGATTTTAGGACCCCCTCGTTTGGGCTCACTCCTTTTCAGGATTACCCACTCACTTTCCATTAGTGGTAGTGGCCAAGATTCTCTTATCTTTTGCCTCAGGCCAGAAAGACTGAGATTTTGTCAGAGTTTCAGCTATCTCACACTGTGCTAAGTGAAGCCTCTGCCCTCTGGCTATAAGCTGAGATAGAAGATGGATGGATGGACAGGTGGGTGGATGGATGGATGGACAGACACACAGACAGACACAGACAAACACAGACAAACACAGATAGATAGATAGATAGATAGATAGATAGATAGATAGATAGATAGATAGATAGA